CTTAAAAATGGTGTATCTGTAAACCTTCACAAATCCCGAAAGTTAAAATTATTACTTAAATAATATTTTTAACGTGACAAATTTTGAAATTGCTGGAATGTTGTTTCCAACCGAGTAAATAGAAAATAATATAGTAAAGGATTGTTATATATAATGGATATTTTTAATTTCCATTCTTATCATCCAAACCATCCAAAAATCGATTAAAATACAGTTAAGGACATTATCTTAAGTTAAAAATTTACAATACAAAATATAAAAAATTTATCTATGAAATTGTTTGACAAATCACAAATGTTTTAAATAAATCGCTAGAGATTAATAAAAATTTAATTACAAATTATTAAAAAATATATGTCATAAAGCACTATATCTAGAAACTAAACAATTATTAAGTAATAAAAATAAAAAGCTTATGACATAAAAAGTACGTACACTTAGGTGAATTCATATGAACCACGCTTCTTCTGTGACAGTTCACTTAAAATTCGCAATTGTTCCGATCGCGATTTACTCTAGCACGAAGGGGTGGTAATAATCATGTGACTGTACTGGCGCGATGCAATCTTTCTGGTTCTAGTAAGAAATCGTTCCAATGGAGTTTTTTTTATTCCCAAAATCTCGTCTAGCTTATAATATTTAGATCTGTATGCTTGTGACTAGAAAGTATATTCGCAAGATTCCAAAATTTCAAAATCCCTGTATCCCGTTTTTTAGGTAGTTCCAAAATAATCCCAAAATCAATTGTTTGTACTTAACTTTCTTATAACGTTACACCAAATGGTATAACAATATCCAGACAGTAACCAAAATCATTTGCAACTAAAATCTGGTCATAGTTATTTAAAGTGACAGTGGAAGTAACACTTGGTCCTAATTGTTGATTGGCTACGTTTAATTTATTTTGAATTGATTCCTAACTGTAGTTTTTGGCCACTGCTATGGCTCCAACTACCATGGTGTTTAGTTTTACTTCTTTCTCTTTGTATTTCAATGTGCGTAGCTCATACCTTCTACAAAAACACAATTTTTCATTTAAATTACATTAAAGACTAAGATCCACTTCCGATAATAAGTCTTATCTGGGTCTTCTCCAATAAACTGTTTTGTTTCATATACATAGATTTTTTTATTCCTTTTTTGTTTCTTTTAATAAGTAGTGCAATTTAGGATCTTTGGATATGTTAGTATTGTCGTGGCTTTCGATTGATCATTTGGATTAGCTTATCAACGTTATCCTTCAAAATATTGAGAGGATCATACACTCATGTTGGACTCGGATTGGGCGACGGAATTAAAAGGATTAATATTGCCCCTGAGGTCGTTTTGGGGTGCGCATTTTGGATTTTTCGGGCTTCTTGCCCGTTTTAGAAAGTGTTGCGAAGATTTTCGCGCCTGGGGCCTGATGGTGGAATCTGGAAATTTTCGAAAAAAGTTTCCTGCCCTGCGTAGTAGGTCATCTGCGATGATTTGTCTATGGATTTCTATTGATTTGGCTCAAACTGTACCTTATATGGTGCTTTTTGAAGGTTTGATGAAATTGTTCGAAACATGAGTAAATTTCGAACTAGCATACTACGATTAATATTTAACGTAGATTTCAAAATTTACTAAACCACTAAGACGTTGTCTGAAAAGGTGCTAACCTTATTCTTATCCCTTTTATCAATAAACTAAGAGTCAAGTTTTTTTATATTTTATTTTGATTTCATGGATAATAAATTATTTACAGCTCTTGTGGCCTGTTTTTCTCCAATTTTATTTGAAGGAGGTAAAAAAATTTAGAAATTTACAAGACCACACTATAATGTCTAGTGACGTTGAATTCAGTTTGCTTCTCTGTGCGTTTTTCATTAGACGTATGCACAGAAAACGAAATCATTTTTACGATTTAGGTCTTCTTAGTAAGTACGTATTAAATTGAAAATGGAACCTAATCTGTTCTAACCTAACTCAATATAAACATTTATCTATCTACGTAAAGATTAGGTTTTTTTCGTAAACGAATCAAGAAACCCACGCATGCGGAGAACCTCGAATCAAACTGGGTTCAATGTCTCTAGACACTATTGACAGTAACTGTTAAAAATCAATTTTAGATATGTCACGCTGATGACAATATTTCATATTGACTAAATATTACTGTGCTGTTACATTTCTATCGGATACACAATAATTTTATGACTATTTACAATATACAGGGTGATTCATAACTTATCCAAAAAAATTTGGGAATAGATGCGTTGTGAGAAATGGAGTCAATATTGTAAAAAGTTTCTGTAAAATCCTTATAGTTTCCGTGAAAAAAAAAATTGAAGTAGTAGTACATTCAACCACTACATAGCTGGACAACTGTAGTTTCTAGCGTCATACGCGTGCATAGCCACGTGACTCCGAATACTGAAATTCCATTTTACAATCGTCGTCGTTGCAATAGTGTTTACTGTGGTGGTGTTTACAATAGTTTTTTTAGTAGTTAGTGTCAAAAATGGCTTGCGTGTATAGCAATCGGAGTTGATGGATTTTAATTTTGGTAAAGGAAGACAACATTTGTGTTTACACGTCGGTGCATAAAATTTTGAATTGCTGTTGTAACATCAGGTATGTCAAATTATTTTATTATTTAAAACCACAAACTAATTTTATTAATTAATAATAACAATAACGGCTAAAGCAGTTGAATTTGCTGATATAAAAAAGGTACTATACATTTCTATTTATTTCTTTCCTTGCGAAAGTTTTTGTCCGTTTTTATCACACTTTGCCACCATGCCTGTCGCATTGTGAGAGGTCAGGTTTTACACTGGACCAGTTTCCAGTGCCGTGCAGAAGTGTTTTTAAATCATTTTCGAACTGCCCTTTTTGATATTTTATTTACAAAATTATATTTGTAAGAGTCCCCTGTACGTCCAAAATTTTTTTTTTTTGGATAAGTTCTGAATCACTGAATAGGATAGATAAAATCAAATACCAATTTTATGCTAATAGAAAATGATGTTATGTTGTAGAAGTTATACCTACCAAAATATTTTGCTAGTTTTTTTCGACTTTAATAAAATAGGTTCCTATAAAATATGAAATTTGTTTTGTTGATTTACGTGCAATATAATTGTAATTTAATATCATCAAAAAGTTCTTTGATTGTTCTTTAAACCGATGTCTTTATTTTGTCAAGATTTTGTCAAGATTGAAATAAATAAATATAACTCAATCACCTACTAGTTTTTCCTTGTTAATAATTATTATTAGTCTGTTTTAAATGCAAGCCATTACTTACGTGTATAATGTTTATTATTAGAAATTGGCTTAAATATACAGCAATATACCTCCACAAATAAGTAGTCTCAGTTATAGTAGTATTAATTTCAAAGGTTATTAGGCACAATTTACACTGTATTTTTTTAATATTTTGATAGTAATACCATAGGCATTTAAGCAGTCCCATACTATACAATAGTCATAAACTGGTTTTAAGAAAACTAATAATATAATCCTAATATACTTAGTGTATAACAATTTAATAGAGGTTATAATAATTTTCTCTGTGTTGTAATAATATACACAAAACATTATAGTCTGCTGTCTGATTTAACTTTGTTTATTATTGTAATATAATAATTATTAATCGGTTTTTTATTCTTTAAATTTGACTTAAATTTAGTGAATCTAATATTTCATGCTCAGTTACAACTACGGTAAGTTAACTAAGTTTATCTTGAATCAACACCAATCTTCAGTTATATATGTTAATTTCGTTCAGCTTAGTTGGGCAGCATAAAAATATTACAAACATAAATGAACGTTCAACAAAATGCCTTTTCTACAGAGGTATCCCTGATATAATAAATTCATAGATCCAACCCCTATATTTTTATAAGCGCCATTAATGACATGTTTTGTAAGTTGCCTCCCTTCATATGAATAAAAAATTTGTCAACGCCTCCCAATGTTTCCTTTTACTATACACAATACTTTAGGTTCCCAGCATAAAAATATGTAAAGACGAGTCCAGAATTAACGTCCAATTTAATAGTTCATATATATTTCCAAAGCTCCATGTTGATACAAAATTATTCACCTTATGCATATATTCTTTTAGTAATAATAATAATAGTATTCCAAGTATGTTTTTAATTTATTTCATAAGTAATACTATTGCGAACGTATAAAAGAATAACAAGTCTATACAAGAATGTGAAGAAAATATGAAAAATAAAAATTGAAGACTGTTTTGTCTCAAGTTGAGTTACAAAAGAGCTGCAGTAGTACATAATACAAGCTTCGTGCACAGTTAATCTAGAAAAGGAACTATAATACTTTATTTGCAATTTATACGATTTCCAAGTTTTGCAGTTTACTTTTGTTATTATTTCTAAATACTTTATTTTCATGCAAAGTGCAAAATGCATTCGGCAAAGTAAGGGGCTGTTTTACCCAAGATGTAACAGTAAAATAGGTGTTGATACTATTTTACAAACAGTAATAATTGTATATTATGTTTTATAACTTATAAAAATAAAACTATATCTGTAGTTCGTATTTATTTGATTTCCACTTTTAAACTGCGAAAATTAGAGTAAAAAATTACATGTGTTGTTAAAAGTTCGGCTATTCTTCTTTAAATATATTCTATAAAAATAGAAAGGCACACTATGAAAAAGCTATTAATGCAAATGCATTCTTTATTCAAAGTAAAATATTTTTTTGTTTATAAATGCATTCCATATTTCCAAAAAAGCATTTCTAAATGTTGTGCTGAAAATGCTCATTCTAAGTAAAGCAAGTTAAGTGAAACCTTTCCAGTAAACACTTTTTTATATGCAGTTTTTTAACACCAACATTAATAGAAGTGGGAAAAGGTTTAAGATTTATATACTATGAGATGCAAAAGTATATTTCCAAAGTGTATTCAATACTTGTCTAAATCAGTGTTATAATTTTGTGCAACTTCTAACTGGAACCACTAAATTAAATATAGAAGAAACTTTATTAATTAGGATTTACTCATCCTTAGAAAGCTGGCTTAGTAACATGTAGTACGAATATGCCATTCGCAATATCTGAAACAAATATGCATTAGTTTATCATTTGTTGTTCTTATGTTGTTCGCGAATTTTGAAAACCAAATACTTAAGGGAGATTAACAGTTAACAATTTAAGAAAGAATATTGGTCCAAAAACCCATACAAGTATGTATAATTAGTTTAAAGTTTTCTACTTGGGCACAATAGGAATGGAAGAATATGGTTAACGAATGCTGTAAATTCTACAATCGTCCATGTTTTTTCATATATTTGTTTTTAATTTCTAAAAACTCGCCTATACGATCGTTTTACAATCAGTTGAGTGTGATAAAAACCCAGTTACCATAATTATATGTACATGTACAATACTTTATATACAACCCTGAATTTTTTTAATATTAGTTTGTGGTTTTGAAAAAATACCCTTTACGCCACTGTAACCTTGTCATATGGTCTGTAATTTTGTATTTGATAACAACTATTTATCTGCAATTAACAATAACAAAATCATTATAACTTGTCCAAATTTTGTAAATGTTATATTTATTTCGTTGTTACGGTGACATAAACAATACGCCATATTATTTGTATTTTTTGCTCTCTCGTGTTTAATTTTGAAAAAAAAATAATATATACAGGGTGTTTCTTAATAACGTGCTAAGATTTAAGGAGGTTATTCTTGGGTCCATTTTAAGAAAAAAATTTCATATGAATATATGTCCTAAAAGTCTTAACTTCTGAACTACAAGGTGCTAAAGTTCTATGAAAAAACATTTTTTTATTATAACTTTGATATTACCTACCCTACATATTTTTTCAAATTTGGTACACGCCTTCTGTTCATCAAGATGCATTTTTTGATGTACAAACAATTTTATTATTTTTGCCAGTGACGTGTGTACAGGTTTTGTATTGAATATTTTTGAAGAAAAATATGTTACGCCACTGCTTTTTCTTTAAGTAAAAATCATTTTTGAAATCCTCATTCCTTTCTGAGCAAATGTGGTGTCTTGAATTTTTTCGTTTGACGTACGATTTTCGCATAAAAAAATAAAATTCATTCATTTGCATCTTATTTACGAGAAAAAAAAATGTAATTTTGAACAATAATTTATTTATTTAAGATAATAACTTTTAAACATTGAAATTATGAAATTACAGTAATCTACATACATTTTGGATTGGTAAAAGAAAATTACCCTGGCGTGACATTTTTCTTCAAAAATATTCAATACAAAACCTGTACAGACGCCACTGGCAAAAATAATAAAATTGTTTGTACATCAGAAAATGCATCTCGATGAATAGAAGGCGTGTACCAAATTTGAAAAAATATCTAGGGTAATACCAAAGTTATCACAAAAAAAAATTTTTCATAAAACTTTAGCACCCTGTAGTTCAAAGGTTAAGACTTTTAGGACATATGTTTATATGAAGTTTTTTTCTTAAAATGGACCCAAGAATAACCTCCTTAAATATTAGCACGTTATTAAGAAACACCCTGTATATAGAGCTAAAAAATCCAGCGTATTTAGTAGAGAAGAGGTGGGTAGATTCTTTATGGAAGCATGGGACGGCAATTTTTTTTATTCTATTTATTCAGATTTAAGTTCATCCTAAACTCAAGAAAATGTAAAAAATTTTTAATTTAAGAAAATTATTATTTCAGATCGCCTCAGCTATAGGATTAGAGGGAGTCTATAGTCGAGAAAACTTGTCCAAGATGATTTCGAAAAACAGGATAATATTCTTGTTGGTTAGGTATTAACATTCCCGATTTAAGCCTTTGCAGGTAACACACAGTCAACTGTTTTTATATTATAAGAAAGGAAAGTCTAGCAATCAATTTGTTGAAATAAATTATATTTGAAAAATACCAAGCTAGATAGCTTTCTACCTGAAATTACCAAGTTCTAATATCTACACAAGTCACTGTTTTAGACGGACATTATTGGCAGACACCGAAGGAGATCTCATGACTTTGAAACACCACGATGGATGGAAGTCGTCCGATGTAGCAGAGGGATGTCTGATTCGATAAAAAACAAGATTGGCAGCAATATACTCTACGATATTCTCTGCTAAGACATCCTTTAGCTAATCTGTATCATATATCAAGGCTGTGTTCAGCGAAAAGTCAGACCCGTCAAAGTCGTCCAGCGGACAAATATTTCGTTGGTCAGCCCAATCAGCTGATTGGGAATATTGGGCAGGTTTTAATACAGTTACTAAAGGCCGTTCAGCGAATTGTTTGACTAAGAAGTTTGACCGAACTAGTTACCAACTTGACCAAAACAATTCAACTAAAATATATGTGTAGATTAGATACATACATTATATGTTTTAAAATTTTTAATTTTCGTTCATTTTCATTAATAAAAAAAATTAATTTTATTTTTTTGTGTTATATTATTTACTTTCTACATTATCACGGCAAGCGGTAATTGCATCTTGCCGCACCCTATGCGTTAATGTATAATTTACCACACTTAAAATAATGCATGTACTGTTCTAAATAAAAGTAATTCATTTTTTTTAGTACACAGGATTTTTTTTATTAGAAGAATATATTTTAGGCTAATATTAATACCTTATATAATAATAGATATACTTACACCAATAAATGTACTCAAAGATAATTCGAAGAAATTAACTGCGTATAATTTTATGGGTTTTTGAGTTCTACAGATGAAAAACAATAAGTCTTTCTTATATCCTTTTGATGCAGGGACCCAATTTGACTCGAATGCTGCATATGGAATCTTCTTACTCTAAAATAGGAAACATTTTTCTACAATTTTTATGCTGGGTAATTCGAAATTAAGGGGTATTTTTTCAAGAGCTTACTTCCCTCTTAAAACTAAGATTAATTTTTCAAAAAATAATCGAATATCTTTTATATATCATCCAAACGAGTGTAGATATTTAAACCGAACTTTGTAGTATAACCATCTATATAACTTTTATTTATGTCAACTTTTTCAAGCAACCAGTGTACTGCCGGTGGTATGGGCATTTGATGAAACAACTGCACTAACCTGTATGAATTCAAAATTTATTGATTTTTCAAATGCACTACAAAAATTGTTTCTCGGGACTTGTCTATATATTTTATAGGAACGTAATTGAAAACAATAAGATAAAATTAAATGATCAATAGTCAAAATTAACTTACTTACAGGCCAAGTCTGTTACAAAAATTTACTTTATCTTTAACCAAAGTATACATTTTTCTTTGTTTCGACCTCCCTCATAATGGAGGATAGTTGGCGATTTGCATTGAATTAGATTTTTTATTTCTTTATATAGGTATTAAAGCTAATATTCCATTTTAATGCTCCACTTAGTAATGACGATTTTCTTAATTAAATTTAATACACTAAATAAAAAGAGTTATTAATATTTTTTCAAAATGGCATGTCGCTTTCATTTCCCCTAAGAAATACAATATATTTTTTAATTTCTGTTTGATATATCTAAATTTACATTTCTTTATAATTTTGACATATCAGATATGTGTTTCTTTTTCATTAATGCATACCTAGATATGTGATATAAAAGTATAAAGGCATAATTTCATTTATAACAGAAATTTAGGGAAATTTTTGTAATTAATACGAAATAGTTTAATTATTATATACAGGGTGTCCCAAAGTGACGCCCGTCCTTCTGGGATTTGATTAAGGAGACAAAAACGAATTGAAAAGCAAGAGTGCAAAATTTTCTGATTGTTTTTCTTTGTTGAGTTATTCAAAATATTATTAAAAAAACTAAAAAAGTGAACATCCTTTTTTTTGTGTCGAAACTGAGGTCTGTGCTTATGGGGACCAAGGCAAATAATTTATAACCAATAGTATAGTAGGTAAATATAGTTTCCGATTTTCGGTTGTACCAAGGTGTAAGGAATTATTTTAATCAAAAAAGGATAGAGAAAAACGTTTTAATGATACAGGGTGGTCCGAATTTTATGCAGGAAACTTCGAGGACAAATGGAACTCTTTAAAATAATAGGAGTTTGTCTTATAAACATAGGTCTCAAACGGCCTCGTTTTAGGGATACAGGGTGTTGAAGTTGTTAAAAAAAATTGATTTTTTGCTTATATCTCCGGAATCTATTAACCGATTTCAATAAAATTTAGTACAGATAATGTATTATAGTAGGCCTTGTATTTCCTAAAATATGAGCTCTAAAGGTTCAACCAGTGGTGTACAACAGGACAGGGTCACCCCCTTTTTATAAAAAAAACCTACGCCACTGTATTTTTATACGCTATTGTAACGGATTTATATTCTATTGCACAAAAGTTATTCATGAGGATTTTCTTGTGACCAAACATGCAAATTGTGGAAATTCACTATCCCTCGCCTTGTGAACGCAGACTCATCGGTCCAAAGACCTTCTAGTAAGAATTCTCAAAACCACTGATAAAAATTCAGGCGTCTCTCTGCAGCTCCCGGAAGTATATTTTGCACAGGTTGTAAATGGTACGGATTTCTGCCATCTTTATGTAGAACTTCAAATTTTCGATTTACTCACCCCAAGTTGCCGAGACGTTCTTCGTGTACTTAACCAAAAATCGTCGTCAAATACTCTTAAAATTTCATTTCTGTGTCTTTCATTACTCCGTCGTGAATTTCCAAATATCGTTTTAATTCAAAAAGATGAAAGCGACGACTGTAAAGAATTTTGTTGATATGATTACAAATTGCACTTACTTTTAAGCGTAAACATAAATATTCTTATAATATTATGATTAAAAGTGTCTGCTACAAGGGGATTGTGTTGGTATGAATAACTTGAAAACGGCGAACTTTAAAGAAAAAATTCAAGTTACCTTTTTTACGTATTTTGTGCAATAGAATATAAATCCGTTACAATAGCGTATAAAAAATACAGTGGCGTAGGTTTTTTTATAAAAAGGGTGGTGACCCTGTCTTGTTGTACACCACTGGGTGAACCTTTAGTGCTCATATTTTAGGAAATACAAGGCCTACTATCATACATTATCTGTACTAAATTTTATTGAAATCGGTTAATAGATTCCGGAGATATAAACAAAAAATCAATTTTTTTTAACAACTTCAACACCCTGTATCTCTAAAACGAGGCCGTTCCAGACCTATGTTTATAAGGCAAACACCTACTATTTTAAAGAGATCTATCTACCCTCGAAGTTTCCTGCATAAAATTCGGACCACCCTGTATAATTATTTTATAAAATATATAAAATAATAAAACTTATAAACTAAAACCACAATGCTTAAATAATAGAAATTGTTTTTACAAAAGGTGTTCAAATAAGTTGCCTTCTACTTCAAAACAAAGATTAGCACGATTAAATATTGAGGCATGAACCGTTTGTTGGATCTCTTACAGTTATTCTATTAATGCGACAGCAGCGTGTAAACGGGCTACTACATTTTCTGGATTTACAACAGGATCGCTGTGAATCTTCTTTTAAATAATCTCAAAAGAAAAATCCAGAGGATTCAGATCTGGTGATCTAGGAGGCCACGCCATGGGTTCACCTAATCCAATTCATCTGTCTGAGAAGTTTTGATTCAGATAATTTCATACTCGTAAATCATAATGTGATGGAGCTCCATCATGTTGACAGCAATAATTTAGTCTAACTGCTAACGGAACGTCATCCAGCAATGGCAATGATAAGTTTTCAATTAAAAACATACAGCTGCATTATATAATTATTTAATAATCCAGTCCAAATGTTTATTATTATTTTTTTGAAAAATTTTTTTGAATAACAACAAAGAAAAACAATCGGAAAATTTTCCACTCTTGATTTTCACTTTGTTTTTGTCTCCTTAATCAAAACGAGCGTCACTTTTGGGACACCCTGTATATGATATGTATTCTTGTAAATAAGAAATATGCGTATATTTAAAATACTTACCTTTTCAGTAACTTCGTTTCCATACCAACAATAAATGTATAAATCTGCCCACACCCCTAGCTGTAAAACACTCAGGAACCAAAAGTCAGCGTTAACATCATGATTCTAAGAATTAAGAAATAGTTTGTTGTACTAGCTAGTTCTTGACTGATTTTCATTTATAAGTAGTCCAATAATTATAATTTATTTCGTGATTTTCAGTCGAAAATTGAATTAAAATTAATGATCTAATTTAGTTCAAATTAAAATTTCAAAAATATTAAAAAATATATAGTATACTTACCATACTCATACTAGTCATAATTAGAGCAGTTGACACACACGATGATGTGAACTGAATTAATAAGTATTTACTGAAGTACGATTCAACGAGTTTGGAGTACCTAAAAAAACCATGAAAGTATTTACAGTGACTTCCTTGTTTATATAAAACCGATTATTATTTAACATTAATAAAATTAGATGCTTACTCCACGATTTTTTTATGGTACTGAACACATATCTTGAGCATCTCCGTATCTAAATTGATTTCGTTCATCGCAGATCCGTTGTTTAAATTTTTTAACAAGTCAACCAATACATCGCATTCAGCAGATAAATACGCTAAGAAACCGGCAGCCAATGTTGCACCATTTAGGTTCACAAAAATATCAATTAGGGCACTTACACTCTGATGAAAATAAACGATTTCATAAACTACAGGTCTCTTATAGTCGAAAGGGTACCAACAATTCAAAGGTAAGGTATAGGGCGTTTTGCTAAAAATCGGTAACGTAACGTAGTTAAAAAAAACAAGCACAGAGAGATAACTATAAATAAGATGTACTTTTTTCCAAAAGCCCACGTAGTCGCATAGAATTTTTGTCTGTTCCTCGTTGAGTTCTACGTTCACACTTCTATGGATCTCAGCATCTACTAATAGCTTGAACATTTTACTGTATTTCATGATAAAAAATGTTTTGGCAGTGGCCATTATGCCGAGAATGATATATCCCGCACCAATAACATCTTCTAGAAGATTTGATGATGTTAAAATGTACCCTGTGAGGCCTACGCTCATTGTAAAATTGAAAAATCCATTAACAATGATCGTGTAGATCAAATACGATTTGTCGGAGGTGAAATCTTTTTTGGGCCAAAGCCCAAGATATTTCATTACCACCAGATTGTAATGGAGATATTCTTTTAGTTGAAACCTCTTCATCTTCTCAACTGGAGCAGAACGAAACATAACGCCATGTAATATATAATTTTTGGTTTTACTAATTTCATATCTGAGGAAAAGTGTAATAAATATTATTTAATATTAATACAAAAGATGAGAAGTAACACGTTTTGATATATTATTCATGGCAAAATAGTTATGTTCACATTGCGGACGTTTCTTTTTAAAACATTAATTTAAACAGTAAATGTGTAATTTTTTTAATCATGGTAATTTACTTCAACGATAGCTATTATTGAAAAAAATATACCAGGTGGCCAAATGAAAACGAAACAGATTTCAGGAACTTCGTCAAGATTGTAGAAAAACGCTCAGACCCATCGATTTTAGATTAAAGGGGGACATTCTTTGCTGGTATTTTTGACTCCGCCACTTTCACCCCCAAGCAAGGGTCAGCAACACCCCAAAATATTTAAATGGAATTGAGGGTTGAGTAATATTTCTTTTGAAAGCTCTTACAGTTCTCTTTACAATATACTTTAAATTTTATAATTCCGCCCTATGCTTTGAAAAAAAATTACATTTTAAAATTTAAATTATGTTTAGTTGTTTACTTACTACTTAGTTGATTAAATGTTCAAACTGATGACCGCCCACTTCCATACAAGAATAAAGATTTTGTTCGAAACGTTCGCGCACATTCCGATGCATTTCCGTAGTGATTCGACGGCATTCGTCGACGATTCTTTGACACAAATCTTCCAGCGACGCTGGCTGTGTTTTATGGATTTTACTTTTTAGGTATCCCCACAAAAAGAATTCAAATAAATCCGGTGAACGTGGAGGCCACTCAATGCTGCCTCTTCTCGTTGGTCTAAATACTGACGGACAATTAACGCATAATGCGGAGGAGCACCGTCCTGTTGAAAAATCAAATGATCTTCATCATACACTGGAACATTTTCAATAATATCAGTCAAGGCAGCAATAGCGTCTTCCAGTAATTACATTTGGCCAGTCAAATTACCAGGTAGAAAAAAAGGACCCACCAGCCGGTCACCGAAAATTCCAGCCCATATAATTAATTTTTCCGGTTGCTGTGTATGCACCTCGTGAAAAACTCTTGTGTTTGAATCGGACCAATAGCGGTAATTGTGACGATTTACCGTCCCGTTCAAGAAAAAACTGAATTCATCAGAAAGACAGATGTTAAAAAGGAACTGTGGATCGTTCCCTGCTCGCTCACTCATTATTTCGCAAAATTGCAAACGGCGGTCATAATCATCCTCATGAAGTTCCTGGACTAAATGTATTTTGTATGGATGGAATTTATTCTTCTTCAAAATGGTTTGTATGCTAGTTCGATTGATCCCAGACACAGATGCCAGCTGCCTCGTACTTAATGTAGGATCAAGATGAACTTGTCCCAAAACTGCAACTTCACTAGCTTCATTAACTATAGGTTTTTCAATTTCTCGTTTTTTATTGGCTACGTTCCCTGTCTCTTGAAATTTTTTTACTAACTCTAGAACATACTTCCTCCTGACATGTCGATCTTGATGTTGTTCATTAAATAGCTGAGCTGTTCTATTCGCACATTTATTGTTCATAAAGTAAAGCGAAATGATATCTACCCTTTCCGCAATGGAATAAACCATAGTGTTTAATTTTCAAAAACACAATTAAATAAACTACCAACCAACGCTTCCAAATAATACTAGAAAATAATTTGGAATCCACTAATTTTACGTTCATTGTGTGTGTATAGCATTCATTTCTGTTTTTTACAATTGTGTTTTTTTTTACGAAAGTGATAACAAATCGCCAAAAACCAATGTAACGCAAGAAATACTAAATTTATACCATTGGCGTACTTAACTCGAATGACTGACATTTTTACCGTTACTAATTGTTTGTACATAAGTTTCAACTTTAAAATCAAAATTCTTAATAAGTATTGGGCGGAATTATAAAATTTAAAGTCTGTTGTAAAGAGAATTGTAAGAGCTTTCAAAAGAAATATTACTCAACCCCCAATGCCATTTAAATATTTTGGGGTGATGCTTACCCTTGCTTGGAGGTGAAAGTGGCGGAATCAAAAATACCAGCAGAGAATGTCCTCCTTTAATCTAAAATCGACGGGTCTGAGCGTTTTTCTACAATCTTGACGCAGTTCCTGAAAATAGGTCTGTTTCGTTTTCATTTAGCCACCCTGTATATATTTCTAAACGACACAATTCAAATAGACAAATTTAAAGGAACATCAACTACTTAAGGATACGACAATGAGGTGGCAATAATGTGGCAAAATACAATTAGCTATGAGATATTCGAAACAAAAAAAAACTGTGCAAATAAAAGTTATAGATGATCAAAGAAACTATATTTTCATTTAGGAGATGAGGATGAAAGGAAGAAAATAAGGTTCTTTTAATCAAAAAGCTACAAAGTGATTCACAAAAAATTCGGCCATACAACTTGAAAACAGAAAGAGGATATTTGATTCTGTAAAAGTCAGATCATAGAAGATCCTCAATTAAATTGAGTCAATTAAGATCCTAAGTGAAATTTTTCTAAAGCAGGTTGTAGATGGCGATGATCTCGAAAGAAGTTTTTCGATAGCTAAAACTTTGAAAGTTATACCAAATTTATTTTGACTTCCTATTACTTCCCTTCATCACTTGGACATAATTTTCTCACAATTAAACTACTTTCCAAAGATTATGCCATCGAAAAAGTTCTGTTGTCATTAGCGCCATCTACAAGTTGCTTGGAAAAATTCCACTTCATGCTATCGAGAAGCTTCAGAAAATTTTATTTTAAACATTCTCTTAACTTTTTTGCATAACTTTTAGTATAAATAAAAAATGTATAAAGATGTACATATTTAATGGATTTTACACAATATGTTTCCTGCTTCCTTCCTAGTTCCTTTACCTCAAAACACTTTTTTCCTGTGTGCCGATCAATAATGTATCACAATCACTTTGTATCTCAAACAGAGAACTTCAAGGGCAATGAGGAAAACACCCCTCATTTTTGTACACACCTTGTAATTTAAATATAGGTATGATAATAAAAATTGTCACATAATTTTCAAAATAGAATAACTTTAATTTTAAAATTATAAATGAGAGTTTGCATACATAGTTATTTGAAATTACACTCCTATTTAAGATACATCAAATGTGTGCAATTATTAGTTTCACAATAACTAATTATTTATGTGGTTTAGTGAGGGAGTGGACAATACTTTCTAGTGGTGATTTTTCGTCCTTGAAGAGTGACATTAACAGCTCGTACATAATCTGAAAAATATTTTAATTAGAACGATGAAAGTATTTACTGTATTATTTTACAAACGCGGTGGATCAACCGTGAAAAATATTCGTGATATTTTAAACCGTTGATACATTTCAGACGAAGATATCAATCATGGACCAAAAAAATATATTAGGTTTCTAATATTTGATATTTTGAAAGGATATTAATTGTCAACACCAAAATTAGTTGGTGTTTTGTAAATAGGTAACAATAAATAATTTTAATAATTTATAATGTGCATCTTTGTGATCATTTTTAATTTTCTTGATTTTTTGGTATTATTTAGAGTAGTTTTCACAATTTTTTAAAAATTTTTATTTCAACTCCTGAAGAAGTTATAAGCATCTGAATATTTTGGTTAAAAAATTTCAAATGGTAACTTGGCAAAAACTAAAGACATCATAAACTTTTTTTCATTTTGTTCGTTTTGAGATGTAGTTTTATAAAAAAAAAATATAAAAATAATACATTTTCAGTTTTATTTCATCGCCTCAAGAATTTATGTGCATTTGAATATTTTGTGTAAAAAATTTTAAAATAGGTACCTGTAACTTGGCAAAAACTAAAGACATCATAAACTTATTTTCATTTTGTTCGTATTGAGATGTAGCTTTATAAAAATAATATATTTTTAGTTTTCTGTTATGTTTTTCATTTTTAAACCAAAAAGTGCTTTTTGAAAAGGAGTGGCGTTTTTTCTCAAAAAAATCGTTCTTCAATATTCAAATTTTTGAGACAGGTCCTAGAGTAAGATCTCTTTTTATTCTTTTTTTTCGAATTAATTTTTTTTAGTATTTTAATATTTTACAGATAATGTACGCTATTAAACCAAATTTTATTATAGAAATACCAAAATCGTGATGACTAAGAANTTGATGGATTTTATTTTCTTTATTCCGTTAAAAATATTCCCGTCAGTGATCCAAACGCCATCGCCACTTCGAAGGATTTGACTCATGTATTGTTAATTATCTTAATAAAAATTTAAATAAATTCATGGAAACTAAATGGGTAGGTACTAAATAATACCAAAAAAATCGGTAAAATTAAAAATGGACGGGTCATGACCTCAGTGATCAGGCATGGAATGCTCCATATACAGGGTGTTTCAGAAAGACCTTCCGTAAATTCAGGGAGTGATAGTATGACAAAAAAAAATTTTTTTGTTGTCTTATGAACTGTATGTCTAGTCTATCTCCTCTTGTTTTCTAGATACAGAGCGACAAAATAAAATGTTTTAAATAGAATTTTTACGAAGATTTCTAAACGGTGCGAAATATTTCTATGAAATTTGGTATTCCGGGGTTTTTAAGGACGCCAAATACGCTGGTCTAATTATTTTTTGTATATTTTAAAGAGGGCGTTAGTTATGCTACAATCGTATTACATTTTAAGTTGCAATTTTGTAAATGTGCATTTTATAGGGTAATCCGATTATTTCTACTTACACCAGTGGCGTTCGTGCGAGAATGCCTCAACCTTTTTTAATAAAAAAAATGGTACGCCACTGACTTTTTCCTGTTTTGATATTTTTTTAGAAATCCGTCATCAATTCTGAATGAATTTGTAGGATGTACCGTTTTTGAGGAAAAAATAAAATATATTTTATTGTAGATCTTGTTAATCTTTTATTTAAAGGTGCAAGTAGAAATATTCGGATCATCTCAAAAAATGCACATTTATCCCTTCACAACGTTTTATAAATTTCGATTCAA